AGTTTATTTACTTCTGCATGAATCTTACATTGTGTTATAACCCCTATGCATCTGGGTAAGGATACTGTGCCTTGCAGTCGTAAATAATTAATAAATGCGGCCTTGCCAATATCAATTGTCTAGAGATGAAATAAAAGACTGCTTCACATACACATCAATATACTACATGATGGGCTAACAAGAAACAAACAATAAAACATGTAAATCAAGCACTAGGTATCTCCAGAAATATTCCAAGACAATAATGAGGTGAAATAACACCTAATAAGCACTGATCATTTGATAAATCATGAATAGTTCGGTATGCAAATAATGGTCTAACCAGATAATTAGCTATGTTAATTAATTGAGCAAAAACAGGCTCCAAAGGCTTATCTTACAACTACAGGTCCACTACAGTCAGCTCTACCCACTCAACTGGCTACCTTGTGTTATGACCCCAGGTCGACTGAAGAACGAGTCTTTATGTCTGAGAGTTATTCCGTCTTCCGGACCTGATTGAGAGGTCAAAGGAAGTATAGATATATGAATATATACTAAATACATGATAAATGTCAGTGAATAGTTTAAAAGCATGAGCAGAGGATGAACATGTAAATAAGTGACATGACATGAAATGTCGATACTTTGCTGACATGATGTGAGGCTCGTGGGACATCTTGACCCTACTTGAGCAACAGAAGTCGTGAGGGAAAGTGGCGCTCCGTTGAGCTCCTGGTAGAGGAGGACCCCCTAATTGTGTACTCCTTCAACAGGAGGAAACCTGGCAGGCATTTATGTGTGAAGCCTGTGGGAAGACTTAATGTACTCAAGTCAGGAACAGAAGAGCTGTGAGGCAGTCAAAAAAAAAAAGAGACCTAGTTAAATTCTGCAGTAAGCTACTATAACAGTTGTTGCAGTGGTTGCCTGTGTATGATCATGTGCCCAGCGATCATGGCAAGTGTTTATGTATATAGTATATATATTTTATTAAAGCAGTGAGCTGAAATAAGAGAGCAGGGATAGAAGAACATCTTGGAGCGGCGGAGTGATACGTCCACCCTCGCCGGAGGTCAAGCACTGAGTGAGGGATGCCCCAGCCTAGCGACCAAGGGGGCGGCCTGCGACCCAGAGTGGACCCTGCCCAGGATGGGGGAGTACCCTTGGGGCGACGCAATAGTGTTTTAAAGAGAAGTCGGATGGAGGAGTTTTATTTTCTGTGAATACATTTAATTATGTTTTATTAGGGAAACGTTTATTATGGCATGCTGATGGATTTGCACGTTTATCTGGGAGAACTGCATCGTTTGTAAGGGAGAACTGAAACGTTTGTCTGGGAAAGCTACAACATTTGTGTGGTGGTAGTTAGTGAAAGAACTTCGTGCCAGAGGAGTTTATAGTAAGCTATACCGTAAGGTGAAGTTGGACTTCCAGTGAGAAGTGGAACTTCGTGGTCCTAGTGAACCTTCGAGCTGTGTAGAGCGCGTCACGTCGATAGTGTGAAGCGTTTGGAGAGAACTGCACTGACATTTAAGGAGGACTTCATTGCAGCTGATTGGAGGTGCTGCAGGAGCGCCTTACATATTTTGAGGACCCAGATGATGATTGTAATAGGGGACCTCGAGTAATAGAATAGAGAATCATAAGGATCTCGATGTCTAAGGGAGTGCTTGTGTTTATGGCGTGAAAAGCGCAGTGCAAGGTGAGAGATTGATGCTTTCTGTAGAGTTGGAAATATATAAATAATATTTGTGTCATGTATTGCAGCCTAAGGAAGTGAAGGAAGCAGAAGGCTGTAGACTGAGGTTCAAGCAGCAGCCTGGTACAGTATAGGTTGGAGATAGAGGAGTGTCATCAGTTGGCAGCTGCCCAAGAGGTTACACCGTTTTATTACTATTTTTGTGTATATATTGTATGTTTTTTGTATTAAATATTATGTTTGTTAGCTGGCTTTTGCTTTTGTCCTGGTGAGGCTTCCTGGAGAGAGAGAGAGAGAGAGAGAGAGAGAGAGAGAGAGAGAGAGAGAGAGAGAGAGAGAGAGAGAGGGGGGGGAAGGGGGAAGACACGGCTATAACTTGGGTGATAGTGGACTATAGCTAAGGGGGATTGAGAGATCATCCCACAATAAGGAGTGCGCGGGGTCACGGCGGCTCATTTTTTTGGGGTGGGGGGGGGGGGGGGGGGGGTTGTACTCATGACAACTAGGCAGTGGAGCCGCACCCCTGAATAAAGGTGACGGTGAACCCATCTCCCAGACCCAGACGCTTACTAAGGTGATCTCAGCAGGAGTGTGGCTGCCGAGGTCGGCTGTTCGTTCTCCCAGGGAGTGGTTGGGACCTCTGTTCAATGGTAAGCGAATATCAGGTTGGTTCTAATAACCAAGTTTCAGTGCAGGTATAAAGAGACCTCTCCCAACTCCCATCCTCCCCCACCCCCCCTCTCCCAGGTAGAACACTAGACGCCAAACCGGCGTGGCGGCGTCTACAAGTTACCAAACTAAGACCCACATGAATACTCTCAGATACTCTGTTAGCTGGGAGTAATGCTGACAAACAATATTATAAACAATAGTACATACATTTATCACTATTAAGGTGTAAATTGAAAAATGTACATTTTTTTGTACATTGTGGGTACAATGCCGCCTGAATGCTAGCAAAAAATATCCTTAGATGGGGATCCGCCCCTCTCCCACGAGACGCCAACTGACTCCGCTCACATGAATAAACCCACAATCAAATAAATATACCATACAGGCACACGACAGCATGCTACAGTCAACAAAACAAAATACTCAGGAAAACAATAGGACAATGTCAACCACCAAATAACTGGGGAACGAAGTAAGTAATATTAAGGCTTATCATGATAAATGTCAGAATCAAGTATTATTGATTCGTAACATAATGCATATGATGAGTTTGTCAGTCCTAACACTTACTCTTGTATGACTAACAGTGTATATTTTTCCCGACCTGATAATTTTTACTGGTATATTTTGATGCGGATATAATTGTAATGCTGTTAGTGTTATTACAATCTCTCTGTTTTATTTGGGTTTTCTAGCAGTTTTGTCCTAAAAGACATGTTATTTACACAGGAATGGCACGAGAGATTACTATATAACAGCCAGTTTACCAATAATCACTCAAGAGTGCTGCTCTGTCATTCTGTGTATTGATAACATCTATAAGATATATATTGATTTTTAAGAAGAGTTATCTAATCAGAAAATTATTGGTGGAAACTGCAGGTTTTAAATAATGCTAATACCAGGAACGCCAGACTCTGAGGATGAGTCCCTACTGTTTAGGCAGCTTTCTATGGAATTCAGAGAGGATTACCTAGTGGATGGTTGAAGTAGAGTATACCGTCATTACAGCAGATCACCTAGCGGATAGTTGAAGGACTAGAAACCGTCACTATTTATTTTTTATTTATTTATATACAAGAAGGTACATTAGGATGTGAGTACATGATATCGGTATTCATGCAAAGTCACTGGCACGGATAGCGTTTCGGGAAGTGGAGAGCCGTAGAGTCACCTAGTGAATGGTTGTAGGACTAGATACCGTCACTGTAGCAGTAGGGTCACCTAGTGGATGGCTGAAGGACTAGATAGATAGATAGATAGGGGGTGTTGACAGCCAGCTCAGAGACACTCCTGGCTGTATTTACCAGGCCAACTTTCCAAACCATGTTGTCATGACTTCATTTATCTCATAATGGCTTCTCTGTCACTTTCTCTTCCACCAATGATCGTCCTTCGATTGCGATCTTTGCCATGGAAAGCAATGACAAGCTGACCGTCTCTTGATTCTTCTCCTCTCCATCTTCATCTTTTCTATCACCATCATCGCTGCGTTAACAAATTCCTCATCGATCTCCACCTCTGTTTTCCCTCAATCACAACTCATATCTGCTTCTACCTCCTTCACACTCATTGTACACACCCTTTCCCCTCACTCATTATTCCTCATCTTCTGCTCCTTTATTTACTACCCCCCTCTCTATCTCCCTCACACACTTAAACCCTACTTCACCCCTTCCTCCCTCTCACTTCTCGTGTCACCTTGTCTCCCATCACTGCCACTCATTCCTCACCGTCACTGCTCTCTTACACCCGCTCCCCCTCCTTCACTCATCCCGATCTCACACCCGCCCTTTCACTCACTCCTCACACACACCCACTCGCCGCTCTCCTCACATACCCGTCCTCCTCTCATATATTTCTTCACCACTTCTCTTTCTTCACTTCCTCCTCCCTAACATGTCTTCTATAGCACGCCTCTTCCCGAGTCATTCACCCTTTCTAACCTCTCACCCGCTCTCCTTTCACCAAACTCTCTCCCATTTATTTCTCAGTAACCTTTGCCTCTCCCGACCACCGGTTTATCTCGCCTCTTTACACCCCCCCCCACCACCTCGCCTCTCCTCCCCATTCCTTCTCCCACCTCCGCCTCCTTTACAACTACCCTGATTGTTGACATTTTTGACCAGAGCCTACTCTCACCCCGCCTTAACCTATCTCAGATTCCCACCACCCCCTCTTCCCGCATTTCCCACCGTCCCCACCCCCCTCTCTCTTCAATCCCCCTCCCCCTCCATCTCTCACCACTCCCTCACCTTTACCCTAGAGCCCTCTCAGCTCTACATATTAATCATTCATAGCAAGAGTAGTCCATCATCCTGTCTGGAGTGTGTTATCTCAGTGGGCGCTCTTGCCTCTCTCCAAAGGCATGATTCATACAGGAAAAAAATCTCAATGATGGGTTAACGTTTGCTTCATATGTATATTTTTGTGTAGAATGATGTGGTTATTATTGATATGTATTTGTTGTGGAATTTAAATGATTGTAACTATGATATTTAATGTCATAATAACATAAAAAACACAATCATAAATCGTAAATAACATGCAGAACAACAATGTGGCTGTAGTTACCTTAGTACACAATTCTAAACGTAAATATGATCAAAGAAATCAGAGAAATTGAGTCAATGCACCGAGCTGAAAAAAATCATGAAACATGCGGAGCCAGACTGTGTACGAGGCTCCACCATGACATCTGAGGCGCCACCATGCCATGAGGCGCCACCATGCCATGACATCTGAGGCGCCACCATGCCATGACATCTGAGGCGCCACCATGCCATGACATCTGAGGCCCCACCATGCCATGACATCTGAGGCGCCACCATGCCATGACATCTGAGGCGCCACCATGCCATGACATCTGAGGCGCCACCATGCCATGACATCTGAGGCGCCACCATGCCATGACATCTGAGGCGCCACCATGCCATGATACCTGAGGCCCCACCATGCCATGACATCTGAGGCGCCACCATGCCATGACATCTGAGGCGCCACCACCATGCCATGCCATGACATCTGAGGCGCCACCATGCCATGATACCTGAGGCGCCACCATGCCATGACATCTGAGGCGCCACCATGCCATGACATCTGAGGCGCCACCATGCCATGACATCTGAGGCGCCACCATGCCATGACATCTGAGGCGCCACCATGCCATGACATCTGAGGCGCCACCATGCCATGACATCTGAGGCGCCACCATGCCATGATACCTGAGGCGCCACCATGCCATGACATCTGAGGCGCCACCATGCCATGACATCTGAGGCGCCACCATGCCATGACATCTGAGGCGCCACCATGCCATGACATCTGAGGCGCCACCATGCCATGACATCTGAGGCCCCACCATGCCATGATACCTGAGGCCAAACCATGCCATGACATCTGAGGCCCCACCATGCCATGACATCTGAGGCGCCACCATGCCATGACATCTGAGGCCCCACCATGCCATGATACCTGAGGCGCCACCATGCCATGACATCTGAGGCGCCACCATGCCATGACATCTGAGGCCCCACCATGCCATGATACCTGAGGCGCCACCATGCCATGACATCTGAGGCCCCACCATGCCATGACATCTGAGGCCCCACCATGCCATGATACCTGAGGCTTCACCATGCTACGACATCTGAGGCTTCACCATGCCATGACATCTGAGGCTCCACCATGCTATGACATCTGAGGCTTCACCATGCCATGACATCTGAGGCCCCACCATGCCATGACATCTGAGGCGCCACCATGCCATGACATCTGAGGCGCCACCATGCCATGACATCTGAGGCCCCACCATGCCATGGTACCTGAGGCGCCACCATGCCATGACATCTGAGGCGCCACCATGCCATGACATCTGAGGCCCCACCATGCCATGGTACCTGAGGCGCCACCATGCCATGACATCTGAGGCCCCACCATGCCATGACATCTGAGGCGCCACCATGCCATGACATCTGAGGCGCCACCATGCCATGACATCTGAGGCGCCACCATGCCATGACATCTGAGGCGCCACCATGCCATGACATCTGAGGCCCCACCATGCCATGATACCTGAGGCCCCACCATGCCATGACATCTGAGGCGCCACCATGCCATGACATCTGAGGCGCCACCATGCCATGACATCTGAGGCGCCACCATGCCATGACATCTGAGGCGCCACCATGCCATGACATCTGAGGCCCCACCATGCCATGATACCTGAGGCCCCACCATGCCATGACATCTGAGGCGCCACCATGCCATGACATCTGAGGCGCCACCATGCCATGACATCTGAGGCCCCACCATGCCATGATACCTGAGGCCCCACCATGCCATGACATCTGAGGCGCCACCATGCCATGACATCTGAGGCGCCACCATGCCATGACATCTGAGGCCCCACCATGCCATGATACCTGAGGCCCCACCATGCCATGACATCTGAGGCGCCACCATGCCATGACATCTGAGGCGCCACCATGCCATGACATCTGAGGCCCCACCATGCCATGACATCTGAGGCCCCACCATGCCATGACATCTGAGGCTGAGGCCACCATGCCATGACATCTGAGGCGCCACCATGCCATGACATCTGAGGCGCCACCATGCCATGACATCTGAGGCGCCACCATGCCATGACATCTGAGGCGCCACCATGCCATGACATCTGAGGCGCCACCATGCCATGACATCTGAGGCGCCACCATGCCATGACATCTGAGGCGCCACCATGCCATGACATCTGAGGCCCCACCATGCCATGATACCTGAGGCCCCACCATGCCATGACATCTGAGGCGCCACCATGCCATGACATCTGAGGCGCCACCATGCCATGACATCTGAGGCGCCACCATGCCATGACATCTGAGGCGCCACCATGCCATGATACCTGAGGCCCCACCATGCCATGACATCTGAGGCCCCACCATGCCATGACATCTGAGGCCCCACCATGCCATGACATCTGAGGCTTCACCATGCCATGACATCTGAGGCGCCACCATGCCATGACATCTGAGGCGCCACCATGCCATGACATCTGAGGCGCCACCATGCCATGACATCTGAGGCCCCACCATGCCATGACATCTGAGGCTTCACCATGCCATGACATCTGAGGCTCCACCATGCTATGACATCTGAGGCTTCACCATGCCATGACATCTGAGGCTCCACCATGCTATGACATCTGAGGCTTCACCGTACCATGACATCTGAGGCTTCACCGTACCATGACATCTGAGGCCCCACCATGCCATGACATCTGAGGCGCCACCATGCCATGACATCTGAGGCCCCACCATGCCATGACATCTGAGGCCCCACCATGCCATGACATCTGAGGCCCCACCATGCCATGATACCTGAGGCTTCACCATGCTACGACATCTGAGGCTCCACCATGCCATGATACCTGAGGCTTCACCATGCCATGACATCTGAGGCTCCAGCATGCTATGACATCTGAGGCTTCACCATACTATGACATCTGAGGCTTCACCGTACCATGACATCTGAGGGTTCACCGAACCATGACATCTGAGGGTTCACCGAACCATGACATCTGAGGCTTCACCGTACCATGACATCTGAGGCTTCACCGTACCATGACATCTGAGGCTTCACCGTACCATGACATCTGAGGCTTCACCGTACCATGACATCTGAGGCTTCACCGTACCATGACATCTGAGGCTTCACCGTGCCATGACATCTGAGGCTTCACTATGCCATGACATCTGAGGCTTCACCATGCCAAAAAAAGACACATATTCATCCACTTATTTTCTTGACAAGACACACACAGGATATCGTGGTTCATGGGGAGATACACAAGCTTACAGATCCCGGAAGGGAGAACATGTGGAGAACATGTGGAGAACATGTGAGCATTGCGAAGGCCTACGAGTCTACTTGAACATTTCCTGACGTGCTTGAACATTTGTGCAAGGTGCTGTGACGGCTTGTTGACTCACAGCATGAGGGACGCTGACCAATATACTAGCTCTCGTAGCAAAATTAAAAACAAAAATCTCAAGGAATGCAGTTAGAAAATCAAATCATAAATCCCATGAGATATGAGAACACATTAGTTACTGAGCATATCGGATATAACGTTACTGAAGTCAACATATTTGTCAATAATACTCATGCACAAAGTAATACTCATCATGCAGAGAGTAATACTCATGCTGAGTATCAGAGAGCGAGCTAGCCAGAGGGACTCAAGACCAGTGTAGGAGAGAGAAGGGTTTATGAAGACGATGTACAACAAGGGGGAACACTGCCTGAATAAAATGGAAATTATGAGAACAGGGGGAATTCAAATGAATATTAATAACAGGAGTGAGTTATTCGAGTGACCCCTCAAAGTACACGACTCACTACAATAACGAATAATTCAATACTCGAGAACTTCCCTTCAGATACAGCTAGACGAATATATTTACAATAGGGTAACTACCAAGAGCGCCATACATACATTAACAGTCTCGCATATCAATACCGACGACTACCTTGAGGTTACCTTGAGACGGTTTCGGGGCTTAGCGTCCCCGCGGCCCGGTCCTCGACCAGGTTTCCTCGTTGCTGGTCTGGTCAACCAGGCTGTTGGACGCAGCTGCTGTTGTGGCCATACCACAACATCAACAATAATAGTAAGATCATCATTAACAACCGCAATAACATCACTAACAATAAAAATTACAACAACAACAATACCAATAACAACAATAACAGCAATCAATTATATCAAAAATTAAAACCTCATTAATAATAACATTAACAACACCTGACACGACATAAAAACTAACAACAACAACGATAATAGCAACACCACCACCAATGAAAACATCAATAACCAGAACAACAACACTTTGAATAACTTCAACGATCATCATCAACACCTTCAACAAAAACAATAAGAACAATAAAATATAAACATCCCAGAAAAAGAGAAATCTTCATGGAAAAAGAAAATAACGTCATGGAAAAAGAAAATAACGTCATGGAAAAAGAAAATAACGTCATGGAAAAAGAAAATAACGTCATGGAAAAAAGAAAGAAACGTGCTAGAAAAAAGAAACGTCCTGGGTAAAAGAAACTTCGCGGAAAGAGAGAGAACCTTCTATGAAAAACAGAAGCTCCAACAAAAACAGAGAAACTTCACTGAAAACTAGAAAGTTGATAGAGAAGGAAATAGAGAGTAACTTGCAGTAACAATATTGAAATTCCCATGAAAAATTGGAAACTTCTATGAAGATGATAGAAACTTCATGTGAAAAGAGAATCTTCCTGGGGAAAAAATTTCCTGGGGAAAAAATTTCCTGGGCAAAGAGAGAACCTTCCGGGAAAAAACCGAAACTTCTTGGGAAAAAGAAACTTCCTCAAAAACTTTTTGCAAAAGAGAAACGTTTTTAAGGGGAAAAGATACTTCCAGAAAGAAAAGAGAGAAAAACTTTGTGGGTTAGAAAAAATTCTTGATAAATGAAAGAAACTTCTCTGAAAAAGACAGACTTTCCCGAAAGAGAAACTTTTCTGAAAAATATATATAGAAGAATATTCTCTGAAAAGAAATTAACTTCCTGGAATAAAGAAAAAAATCCCCGAGAGAAACTTCACAGGAAATAAATAAATTTCCAGGAAAAAGAGGGAAACATCCCAGAAAAAGAAACAAAGTTACCAGATAGAAAATTAGCCCCCCCCTTCCCCACCCAAAAAAAATACAGAAAACTTCTTCGGAGAAGAGAGAAGCTTCCTGGGAAAAGATAATACCTTCCCAGAAAATAGAACAACTTCCTGAAAACACACACACTTCCTGAAGAAAAGATACATTTTCTGGAAAAGAGAGAAGCTTCCCAGATTAGGAGTGAAACTTCCCAGAAACAAGCCAAGTTTCCAAGGGAAACACACATCCAGGAAAAAGATAAAATTAATGGTAAACGAGAGAAAATTCTGAGACACACACTTCCCAGAGAGAAAAACTTCCCTAAAGGACTGAAATTTCTCAATACAAGAAACTTCACGGGAAAAGACAGAAATGTTCCCGGAATAGAAGCAAACTTCCCTGAAATGAGGCAAACGTTCCGGAAAAAAAGAGAAACTTGCCTGAAAAAAGATAAATTTCCCCTGAGAGAGAAACTTCCCCAAAGAGAACGAAAAAGACCAGAAAAGAAAAAGAGGGAACCATTCCAGAATAAGGTAGAGACTTCCAGGAGAACCATCCTTGATAAAAGTAACTTCGGTGAAAAAGAAAAATATCCCGGAAAAAATTAGAGAAATTTCCTGGAAAAAAAAGAGAGGATCTTCCAGAAAAAAAACTTGAAGGCAAAAGAAACTTCACTGAAAATTATTACTTCTTGGAAACAGAGAGTATAATTTCTTGCAAAAAGAGCCCAACAACTTGAACTGAACGGTAGAGCGACAATCTCGCTTCTTGCAGATTGGCGTACAATTAATTACCGTCCAAGTTGTTGGGCATCATTCTTTACCCTTATCCCATCCCAAATCTTTATCCTCATCCTTTCCAAGTGCTGTGAAGTCGCAATAGCTTAGCAGTTTCTCCTGATGATTACCTTACCTGACCTGTAAGGAGAGAGAAATTAA